TGCAGAGGGAGCTGCGGGAGGGGGGGGTGGAGGGGGAGGGAGTGCGAGGGATGGCGACGTGGTGTTGCCCCGGTGAATCCCTGGCTGTTCTTACTTCGTGTGAAAGTAGCCCTGTGGTGCTCACCTGCTCGTTGCGTGTTCGAGGCGCCGATTAGCCCTTGGTGCCCATGTGGAGCTGGACAAACCTCACAGCCTTCATGTGATGTGGTTAATATTAGGAGTATCCAAAATACAAGTAGAGATATGATTCCCTTACAACTATTTTTTTTATGGAGCATCCCTTTGTTATATGGAGAAAAATTTCTGCTCACGTGTTTGTTGATTTTTTTTTTTTTTAAAAAGCACATACTCTTTTTTTCCTCAACAGTAACTTCAAGCAGCTCCATGTGCTGTACTGTGACCAAACGATGGCAGGCAGGATGCTATCAGAGTGGTACCTAGTTGCACAGTGTTATCTGCTGGAAATGTATCAAGTTTGTTGCAGAAGCATTTGTGTGGTGCTTGTTCTGGGGTTTTGATTTTTGTAACCATTACTTTGACATGCTTCTTCATGTAGGGTAGTTTGGAGGATTATGAAGAAACAGTAAAGAAGGCTAAAGAGGCATGGAAGGTCTGGGCTGATGTAAGTTAATGGAGTTACCTTCTCTAACATGTCTCCAGCAGGTAATGCCCACTAAATTGCTCTGTCAGGTAATGGTGTAAAATCATATTCATATTGTGTATGTTGAGTTAAAGCAAAAAGCTGCTGTGAGGACCTCAGGAAGCAAGCCCAGGCAACTTAATGCACGTCACTGTTGAGGTACAAAGATGAGGACACTGACTCTTTGAAAATGTTTGTTTTGAGAAACCTGGCAGATTTACCCAGGCTTGTGCCTGTAAGCCATTGCCAACATGTCTGTTGAAGTTCAGAAACCATGTAGCCAGCAAATGATCTCTGTGAGTGTGTTTAACTTTTTGTTGCTCCATGCTTTCTGCTGCAAGAACTCTCCAGAATTCTTGGATATGCAATTTATGGCAATATGCTTGTTCTCATGTGATGAGGAAGACTGCTGGCTTTGAGTGTGCTTTTTTCGTTCACCAGCTGTCTTGGTATTTCACAGAACAGTGACATTATTCCAAATCTTTAGCATTACATTCCTGTGTCAGACAGTAGCTGAGCTTTTTTCCCTAGCAAGCCATAGGCCACCCTGTACAAGCTATAGCCATCCAGCCAGTGTCCATTTTCTTGCCAGCCTGCTGTTTCCTCAACACAAGCTGAAACCTGAATTTCGTAAGGTATTGGGTATTCTTTAGTTTATATAGCAAAGTAGTTTGCCTTCAAAGAGAACAGAGTGTAGAAGAAATACAACCCTTCCCCAGCTTCCTCAGGATATGTTAGTACATGTTCTTTTGTTACAATTTGTCAATGTAATGTTGGGAAGTGCATGCCAGCTCCTAATGTGCTTGGAAATAATCTGAAAGCAATTTAACAGATGAGAAAGATTCAACAAGTCAAATGCTTAAAGCCTTGTCTCAAAGCTGCTTTGTTACTCGTTTGTGAATTTTGTTCATTGTGGGTTTGTGTGGTTTTTTTTTTTTATGAGCTTACCTGTGTCACCGTTTGACTCAGGTCTGACAACAATTCTCTTGATCCCCTCCCCCTCCCACCCAGGTAGGGAAGGAGAGAGAGAAAAAGAGAGAGACTTGGCTGGATTGGAAACTAAACTACACAGCTTTAATTAAAACAGTAATGAATGATATGAGAAAATATATACAATTATATACAAGTATGTTCAGGTATGAGCAAAAGCCTCTAGCCTCCCCCCACCCCCAGCAACTCCCACAGCACTCCCCTGAGCTGGGAACAGTCCTAAGGAATCCCGGAGCTGCTGCTGGAGGATGCGGAGAGTGATGAGGGTCAGGAGAGCTCGAGCCTAAGGGTCGACGGTGATGGATGGACGGAGTCCTCCCCAGACACTGGCCATGGATGGAAGGGAAGAAGAAGCAGGAAGGAAGTTGTCTCCTATGATCTCTGACCTTCCTCTGAGCTTACATAGATATATGGAATGGAATATCTCTGGCCAGTTTTGCTGTCCATCTAACTCAGCCTCCTACAGGGGTGTCATAGATCTCTCCGTAGTTTCTGAGCTGGCAGAGCAAAGATGTGACCTTGAAGACCCAGCAGTTAGAAAAACATTCCAGTGTCTTATCAGCCTAGCTAGTTGCTAGTTAAAAGAAAGCTTACTGAAGGAAAAAAAAAAATCAGTAAAAGGAAAATTGACTTCATCCTGGCTCAAACCGGGACAACCTAAGGATTTTGCATGTAAAGAAAGTAATTTGCATGGTTCATGTATTTATCACTTTTGTCTTTTCAGCTGTCTGTTCATCAGCAGTTTTTAATCCTGTAAATTCTGTTGCATGTATATGGTATATTGTTGATCTTAACTATTGATTATTATGTAACACACTGATGTCACATTAAAAAAAAATCTAATACTTGGGATGTGGGTTTAATTTTTGTATTACTGAGGCTTCTCTGTTTCTCAGCATCTGCTAACAAATGTCAGCAGCCATTGTTGTACTGAAACAAAAAGCTAGAACTTGTGATATTAAGTACACGTCAAAAGCTCAGAAGCCCGTTAAGTGAACTTTATAAAGTACTTGTTACTTGAGGTTCAGCTGACTGGGGGCACTGTGGGTAGTGTAGCTGAACAAAAGTAGCAGAACTAAATCTGAATGTTTTTGGCAGTACTCAGTCGAACTGAACAGACAAAAATCTGTGCAACGTTATCTGTCCCTGTGAGTGTGTGATAAAAATGAACGTGTAATCGTGTCTAGTGGAGATAAGGGAAGAGCATGGCAATCAGTGATTTCATGCTGCAGGGACGGAAGACTAGCAGCAGTATGTGTACAGGAAAAGTCACAGATGCTCAATCTCAGATTCTTCTCTTTTGGTTTGACTAGATCCCTGCACCTAAACGTGGAGAAATTGTGCGACAAATTGGGGATGCTCTGAGACAAAAAATCAAAGTTCTGGGAAGCTTGGTAAGGTGTTTTAAGGAGCATCTTAACTTTGTGGGAATAGGAGGGGGGGGTGGGGCAGAAGGAGCAGGAAGGTGTGTGTCAAAATGTTTTTCATACTTTGTAACCTACCACTCTGCAATACTAATCTTAATAATTGTTAAAATGCTGTTACTTCTGTTTACTTGCCTAAAGCTATTTTAATTTTAAAAACAAAAAAGAAAAAAAAAAAAACAGTAACATGGCATTATGGCTTCCTGCATTGAAAATGATAATATGTAACAGGACAACAAAGTGTGATTAATTCTGAGCCTGTGCACTGGCCAGCAGAAGTGTTAGCTCTGTTGCCCTGCAGTTTTCCCACTTGGCTGGTAGAGGAAGTGTCTTAGCAAAGACCTTCCTCTGATACAGGGCTTTAACCTCGAGCTCTCTCTGGTGATCTGTAGGATTTTATGGACTGATGTGGAGTTATAAGGCTTATGAAGGTGAGACGGTCTTAATGAGATCTTGCAGTACAGTGCAGGACAGACTGGTTGAAGGACTGCTGCTTTAAAATGCTTGCTAGTTGATAGGGAAGAAAGGGAGACAAGTGGACAAGTTGCCACTTCCCTTTTATGGGGAAGTTAAGCAGCAGCTGCTGTTCAGAAACAGCTGTAGGTAGTCATGTGTAGACTACACTACATGTGTAGTCAAGCCCATATTGTTAACCTACAGAATCTTGTTCTGCTGTTTCTCTTGATGTTGTCTTCTCAGCAGAGTTTCTGTGGTAAAATTAGATTGTATTCAAAAACTGTACAGCTTCCCTGGTGAGAGTGGACAGATAGAAGTTTGCTGTGTATTCCTTGGACAAAACTTTTTGCTTATTGCCAGAGCATTTTTCTAGTCTTCCCAAGCAGATAGTAAATCCCTTCAGCTCTTTCAGGATAGAATGAACTTCAGGGTGAAACCTGTGTAGTAGGTACCCAGATGTTACGTCTTTTCCTGACTCTAGGATATGTAAAGGGGAATGGTATGGCAACTCACCTTTTCATATGCTGTTGGGAGTTCTCAGCCTTACCTCACAGTGTCCTTGTCAAGTCGCTGGATGTAACTCCACTGCACTCACAGACTCAATGCTGAGTTTCTTCGTAAATATGTCTGATGCCTCTCCACTTCTAGTCACAGTTGGGACTGTTCTATCTGTTTAATGATGACCACAGGCATCGTAGAGATACCTAGAGCATTTAGTCATCTTCATTTTAACTTTTGCATCTAGAATAAAGTCTTGTGCCAATCCTTCAAATCTGATTCCTCACTTAACAGCTTTTTAAAAGTCCAGTCATCAATATAAAGTGGTAGGTGATACCTGCATGAAAGTCCCACCCAAGTATCAGAGTATGGCTGTACAATTAAGTGGGACTAAATGGGTCTCTTTTCAGTTCATAAATCTGAGTTTTCTCACTTCTGGAGGAAAATGTCTTCAAATATCAGCTTATTCTCATTGATGATCTGTGTATCTACTGTATATGTGTAACATGCTTTTAACAGAAGGACATAGTTTAGTATTGACTTAAGCTAAAAAAAACCATAATCCTTAACATCCCAGGTTGATAAAATGCTAAAGATGTGTAGACCTTTTCAGCAGTATCTGAAATTGGAATCTCTCAAACTCACTTTGGATTATGTAAAACGAGTAGTTTGCTTATGAATAGTAGAAATGACTTTTTTTCTTTTGCTGGAGCAGAGTAATCCCTCTTTTCCAATTTATTCCATACCTGGTCCACAATGTATGCAAGCATCCAGATAGAAGTTCAGTGTTTCACTGATCCAAACTTGTAAACTGCATTACTGTTGGATATTCCTTTCAGTAGGTTATTTTTCATTTCCTCTGTTTATTAATTTCCTTTTCTAATTGACTTCTGTTGTATGGGAATGTGACACGTGTCTAGTTGTCTTCCTTCTTTATGCTGCGCATAACTCGGGAAAAGGTGGATCTCTTCTGATGAAAAGATGTGTATTAAATCTTGCTTCGTGTACAGAGATGCCTGATGTAGGTAGGAGACAAAATGTATTGGGGGTGCAAGGGACTCTTTTAAAAATGAAGTTTTCTTGCTCTTAATTTTTTCAGGTTTCTTTGGAGATGGGAAAGATTTTTGTCGAGGGTGTTGGGGAAGTGCAGGAATATGTTGATGTCTGTGACTATGCTGTTGGTTTGTCCCGAATGATTGGTGGACCTATTTTGCCATCAGAAAGTAAGTATGTGTGTATATATGTTTTTGTTTGTTTGCTTATGGGGTTTTTATACAAAGAAAGAGGTGGAGATATATTTTAAATATGCAGCGATGTAGTGCAGCAAGATCTTCGTACTGCAACTTATTTAGGGAGTGTGTTCTTTAAGAACAGATGTGCTCGTAAGCAGTGGGGCCACTTTATCAAGTGTCTAGCCCTGTGGCTTACAGCAAGAGAAGCAACAGATTTTCCCTCCTTTCTTTGAAGCATTAGTTTTTCTGATTTTCTTGTTAATGAAGATTCTCAAGGCTAGTATATAAGAAGTTCAGCAGTGTACTCGGAAATCTATTTGTCAGTTGCTGATTAGCAAACAAACGCAGTTCTGTTAACTGAATAGTAAAAGTAATAAAAGGTCATGTTGTGTTATTGGGTTTTTTCCCAGTCTAGCTAAACTTGTTCCAGTCAGCTGCAAAGCACCTACAAGGCAGCTCTCCACAAGCTGCTGTTCTGAGGAACAGAGGCGTGGTGCTAGGCCCCTTGCTCAAGTGGTTTCCTTTTTGAAACAAAACATTACATGGATGCAAATTGCGTGACATTGTGTCTTTGCCTTCAGGACCTGGTCACGCCCTTATAGAGCAGTGGAATCCTGTTGGGTTAGTAGGAATCATCACAGCCTTTAACTTCCCTGTGGCGGTGTATGGGTGGAACAGTGCAATTGCAATGATCTGTGGAAATGCTTGCCTCTGGTAAGATACAGCTCTCCAGTGTGCTAACGGTATTTTAAAATTAAAGTGCTTTGGTCTCAAGCATAAAATATTTGTCAAATGTCTGGTGTTTCTATATATTTGATTCTGTCTTGTGTAAGCTTAATTTTTATTTTTTTTTAGGTTCACTTGCAGTCAAAGAGCTTTGTTTCACTTTGTCATAGCTTCTTCTGTGAGGTATTTAGGGTCTGACCTATCCAGGGCTTAGACACATGGCTGTTAATAAGGAATAGTTTGTGGTCTTGGCAGCAGTCATAGCAAACAGTTAATATTTTCAGAGTTGGTACAGCTCAAATTAAGAATCCAAGTAAGTAACTTTACTTCCTCTCTGCTTTGCTTCCATCTACTTGCTTCACTGTAACATCTGGCATAGCTTTTGCTCAAAATGATTTCAGTAGGACCTCTGAATTCTCAGTCTTGAAGGGAAACACTTGAGTTCCTGTCTTAATGTGTACCTGGAAAGCAGCCTAACCACCATGTGCTGACTGATAGATACCATAAAAATTGCATAGTTGAATTATTTCTTATTTTCAAATAATTGAAAAAAATTTATTTCTGTTTTTGTTTTAAATGTTTTTGTTCTTTTTAGGAAGGGTGCTCCTACAACATCTCTCGTTAGTGTTGCTGTTACAAAGTGAGTCCTGGTTTCTCTGCTTTCTGTTTTGCTTTTTAAACAACTTATTTTCGGTTTGAGGTAGTGCTTAGTGGTTAAAAGAACTGTTTCCCCCTGGTGTCCTATAAAGTAAGTGTGTGTATATATACATATACATACACACACACATATTATACATAGGGTGTTACCTGTACTGTTAGTAATTTTTTTTCAGGGATGAGAGATGTGCTTCTGCTGCATTAGGGCTAGCTATGTGGTATGCTTCCCTCAGTCAGGCACTCATGTTTCAGAATCCCTTTTTTGGGAATCTCAGCCCTACATAAGCACCCAGTTTATTGGCAAATTTTTCTTGCTGGCTATGTGAACCTATATCTTGAAGATTCCTTCACACAGTCTTTATTATCCAGACTTAGTAACACCTTAGCACATTTTTTAAGGGTTCAAAACTCAGCCTTGATAAAAAGAAGAACCCCAAAGAAAAAACGTCATAGTGATACTTACTCCAGGTTTATTGTTACTTTGCTTACTCTCTTAGCATTTTAAATGCCTATCTATTGTGTGCTATGAATAACATTTATTTTTAAATGCAAAATATAAGTACACCCTTTAAAAATAACTAATTTGTAAGTGTTTTAGCATTAACTCCTGAGAACAATGGCCCCAAACTACTCATGAGTATTTAACACCATGAAGTTACCTAAATGACTAATGGTGAGAGGTAGTATGGCCAAAATCTTTACACACTGATCTAACGCTTTTCTGTGCCAGCTGTGTGGACACAATTAATGTATTTGAGTCTTACTTTGTGAGCTGTGATCAGGAACACCAAAGTCCATGATGAGAGAAGTGTGATAGACTTTGTGCCAACTACATATCTGTTAACTACAAGACTGCTGCTTTTTAAAAATCTGTAGCTTCTTCAAAGTGCGTGGTGAGGTGGTTTTATTCCCTTTGATATCCACCTGTTGGAAATTTCTGCAATGTTTGCATCTTTGATTCTAGGATAATTGCCCAAGTCTTGGAGGATAACAAAGTGCCTGGAGCAATCTGTTCTCTGGTTTGTGGCGGTGCAGACATTGGGTAGGTAACATTGATTGTGCATTGGGTATAGAGGATAAGGAATATTCTTTGAGGTACTTCTTGTAGAGTTATTCTGATCTCTTGGAGTTCCCAGTATGTGAACATAGATGTTGCCATTATTCTAATCAACTTGTCTGAAACTCTGGCCTGATCATAAACAGTAGATATTCCTACTTGCTTCTGTGAGATCAGCATCTAAAAAATAACTTCTCAGATATTTAACGAAGACACATGGCTAAGTTTATGTTTTACTCATGCAGATGCTTGCACCAAAAGAGTACAGCTAATATTAAATTCCACTCATTATGTTCTTAAGAGCTTTCAGTTTGTAGTCCACTGGACAACTTGCAGAGGAGAGTGCTTCCTCATTTTCCATGCTTACACAGGACTCTGTCCTTGCTCAGAGATGCGTGTCTGTGCTTGGAAGCTGTACAAATCAAATTGTTTTGTTTGATTACTACAATGTGGAAATTCCCAGTACAAATGTTATTTTCAGGTATATCTTTTGAGTATGTCAAGAGAATGCTAAACAGGTGGTAAGCATTAAAAAAAAGTCATAGACATGCTTATTTCCTTATCTCCCTAGATACTTTAGATTGAGTTTCAAAATTAGTGCAGGTGTTGGTTTTATGGACTGAAATAGCCGTATTCCTTATTTCTGACTATGAAGAAGGTTTCCTGCTGTCAGCTCAGTCACCTACCTCATGTTTTCAAGGAATTGGCTCTGACTTTAAAAGATCTCCCTGGTTGAATCTGCTTTATGTGGAAGGTGTAAGCAACTTTTTCAGCTGTCTGCCCTTCAGTTAAACGTGGCTGTATGTCTCCTATTGTGCAGGACAGCTATGGCGAAAGATGAGAGAATGGACCTCTTGTCCTTCACTGGCAGCACCAAAGTGGGCAAGCAGGTAGCGCTCATGGTTCAGGAGAGGTTTGGTGAGTGTCTGGGGTCTCCTCCACTTATTTCCATGGCTGGGAGAGGCAGGGGAGCCCCACAGAATTTTAAAATAACAGCTTGTTTCACTTACCTTTTGTGTTACCTTTTGCTTTACCTTTTGCTTTTAGCTTGGTGAAAGTAGGGTGTTGGAAATAGGTGCTTAGGGCTAAACACTGCATTTTTCAGCTGATTCTGTCACAAGTCAGCTTTTTACCAGGATATCCAGGAGTCCATGGTCCTACAGTTAATTCTATGGAGGGTGCATATAATTGTATGGAGATTATAAACAGCCAGGGCCTATGATCTTTTTACAGTTTGTTCATGGAAAAATGACCCCTGCTTTTTTACTTCTCATAAATATAGGAGAAAAGTTACAATTTTTGTGGTGTCATTTTTGTTGCAAATACTTACAAGTATACAGACATGAGTCTGTGCATAGTTGCTGGATTCTAACTTCTTAGTTTTAAACAGAAAATCTTGTCACAGGATTTTCTCATTTTTTCATAGAAGGTAAAAAAAAACAACACAAAAAAAACCCCAGATTGCAAAGGGTCATCCAGAAGTAGATGGTGATTCCTTCGCTCAGATTTGAGATTAAACAGTTGCCAGAGAAATACATAAGCCTTGTTGAATTTTATGTATGCATTTTGATCTCTATAGCACCTCCTCCTATTCTTTGTCTATGTCATGCTATTTATGGTGCAGCTGTTTTTTTTTTTTTCTGTTTTCACCTCCTCCTTTTCTGTACTATTTTTGCCTTTTTCTTAAAGTTTATTTGTGTCCTAACTACTCTTCAGGTGTCTTTCTATGACAGATGTACTAAATGGTGTAATTTTCTGCTTTGGCAAGAGTGATTACTTGACTGTGATGTCTAAAATTCTGTCCAGAAAATTACATGGAATGAAGCTGAGCTCTAGTGAAAGGTTAGCTCACTAAATGATGTGCAGCAAATGCACAGGTGCATTGTATAACCTGTTTTGTGTGTTTTTATCAGGTCGAAGCCTGCTGGAACTTGGAGGAAACAATGCCATTATTGGTAACATGCACTGTAGCAATTTAGTCCTATAGATGATATTTGGATGTTAGTATACAAATGTTTGTAGCAGTTTGTCCCTTGTATTTTTTTTCCCCCCCATGCTGAGTGTTTAAAAAAACACATAGCAGAATGTTGGTTGTTTTTTTTTTGTCTTTGGTGTTGTGGAGGGCATAGTGTTTGAAGTAAGTAAGTTCAATCTCTTACATATATTCACTGTTGAAGAAAGGAATGAGAGAAGCAGGAAGCTAAATAAATCTATTTTATTATAGTTCTAATCTTGTGAACATCACATTTTTAATGTTTTAGATTAAAAGTACATATTTAGTCTGTTTAGTCTTGAGAAGAGAAGACAGGGGACCTTATTAATCTCTATAAATATGTGAAGAGTAGTTGTCAAGAATGGGCCAATCTCTTTTCAATGGTGCCCTGTGATGGGATGAGGGGAAATGACACCAAGTTACAACACAGGAAGTTCCACCTCAACATGAGGAAAACTGCTTTACTGTGAGGGTGACAAAGCACTGGAACAGGCTGCCCAGAGATGTGAAGTCTCCTTTTCTGGAGACTTTCAAGACCCATCTGGACATGTTTCTGTGTGATCTTCTCTAGCTGTTCCTGCAGCAGGGGGGTTGGACTTGATCTTCAGAGGTCCCTTTCAACCTCTATAATTCTAAGATATATACATAAAGTCTAAGACATATAATACTCAGAAGCAAAATGTGCAGGTATTTATTTCAGTAGCACACTTTACAGGTTTAAGTAGCTGATAGTTGCCAGATAAACACAAGATTAATACTGTGAAGCTGAGCAATGTGGCAGAATGAAAATACAGGCTAGACACATACCTAAGTTGCTCTCCCATTGTGTTGTAGCCTTCTGTTTCACCTTTCTCATGAACAAATGTAATTCCCTGTCTAGAATATTAAGCACTTTGGAAAATCACATTTGAGGAGGTCTTTTTTTTTTTCTGTGCTACTTTGCAACCAGTAGCATAAATGTGGTTTATGCTTATAAAATTGTTTCCTTTTTATAGAAGTCCTGTTTTTTTAGTGATTGGCTTTGAATAATGCCATAAACATTGTTTGATTTGACTTTTTCCCAGGTTTAATGAGAATTCTGTGGGACTGTTTAAGTGGAGGGATATTTTGAGTATTCTTTGAGGCTTATACATACTAGTTTTGCTTTAAACATCCCAGTGTCTTCCAGCTGGATTAATCTATTCAGATAATTTATGTTTTACATTGTGATGTATTTGTGTGTTCTAGCTAGGGTTTTTTTGCATGTGTCTGGATACACTTTACCATTCTTTATGCTGCCTTACGCTCTGGATACTTCTTTATGTTGCTAGATAAATCTTCTCAGTGAGAGAAGGACAAGGTGATGACAGCAAGAAATTGCTTGCAGTTTTGTGAATTAAAGTAGAGCTGAGTTTCTTTGCAAGCTTTCTTGCAAAAGGCTCTTGTCATTTGTTTAGACCTACGTTTTGTGTCTAATTCCAGATATAACTGTAATAGAAGTTTTGAGGTGTTTCTGTATGTCTTGGTGTGCTATGCTAGTGCAGCTATTCCTAATGTTTCTTGACTAACCTATCAGTTTATTATATTGTTCAGTGTCTTTAAGTACTGCAAAGTGCCTGTTTACTTCAGTAACATGCTGATGTTTTCATTTTTGTTAAGTGTTTGAAGATGCAGATCTGAGCTTGGTCATCCCATCTGCTCTGTTTGCTGCTGTGGGAACAGCAGGTCAGAGGTGCACAACTGCTAGAAGGCTGGTAAGTAAATGTGTATTGTCTGGTTTGAGTAGATATGAATTCAAAATTCCTAATTAGCTCAGAAAATGTCTAACAATTCCTAACGGAGAGCAACAAATAATTGTTGAAACGCTTTTTTACATTTAAAAAAAATCAGTATGACAGGAAAGTGAGATGGTAGTTTGTCATTCCACTGCACTTCTAGCTCGAAAGAGTTTCTTTGTATGTGTTTCTAAATGTACCTGGTACTAAAACTCAGGAGAATAAAACTTAGTGGTGGCTTACTTTATTACAAATTTTTAAACAATTATTTTCAATAATGTGTTCTTATGACAGCCTGCATCTGCATAGTCTTTTCAGAGTGGGATTGATTAGGTAAATATTCATAAAAATTGATACAGGTGAATTTTAGTTATATAGAAAGAACAGTGATTCCGCAAATTATTAAGAAAAAAAAAAAGATCATTTGAGTATTTGTCCTGAAACACTTAATTGAAGAGTTTATAGAGGACATTGGTATGGATTTCAGAGTATGATTAAAACAGGTTTTCGTTTCTTTGGTTATTTTAAATCTTCATGGTGAAGAATTTTATATCTTCATGTTTGAAGGCCTTGCTCATGTGTTTATTTTTAACTTTGAGATTTGCAGAGTATGAGCAACACCATCTGCACACTTCAGTTAGCCTTCTTCAAAATGCAGTAGTACTTCAGGAGTAGTCACAGAGGCTGAGCTGTCTGACAACCTTCCTATCATGTCTTGTTTAGTTCCTCCATGAAAGTATCCATGATGAGGTGGTGGCAAAGCTTGCTAAAGCCTATGCCCAGGTCCGCATCGGTGATCCATGGGATTGTAAGTACCTATTTCCAGCTCCTGGATTTAGGAGGCAAGTTTCTATTTGTTTCTTTCTGTTCAAATTCCAAAAAGATTTTAGATCAAAGCTATCTAAATTGAGCAGTTTACCAGGGAGTGGGGATAGCTGGTTTCAGTTAGAATACAAACTCTGAGAGGGAGATGAAGAAGTCACTCTTAATACTGCTCATATTGGACAGATTAAATAATTACTCCCAAAATGTCATGGTGAGAATATTTACAAAAGTACACAGTTTTGCTGAAAGTATGTCTTTGGTTTTTTTTTGTTTTTAGCTGACACTCTGTACGGGCCTCTTCATACCAAAGAAGCAGTGAAAATGTTCCTTGATGCAGTGGAACAAGCGAAACAACAGGGTGGTTCTGTGGTCTATGGTGGAAAGGTGATTTATATTCTCCTTATATTTAGTGCTCTAGGAAAAAAAATACAATAATATAGTGGCTTAGGCCATGATTTTATCAAGTTTGTCTTGTTAGCCATTACAGGATGTTGAGCTGGTCAGTCTGAGAATATTTGAATTGCAGTCCCATCGTTCGTGGAAAGATGGGTTTTCTTGGAAGCTACCTTCTCCTCCAAGAAATGGCTAAGAGCTTTTGGCTGTTCCTTGCACTACTTCCTACTTGCAGGTGATAGTGAAAATACAAACAGCACTGTAAACAGTGAATATCAAACACATAACGAAGAAAAATTGTTGTTTTGTCCCTGGATTCCCAATGTCAAACTTTAGGAAATACTGAAGATTCAAGAGAGCTGGCTGCACTTCTGTGTCATATGGGATGTTTAATTCTAATGGACTTAACGTTTTAGTGGTCCTTGTATTTCACTGGCATCTTCTTTATTCCTAACACCTTCAAGGTCCTAATCAGATTACTAATCAGCTTAAAAATGGGAGAAAGCAACTGTTTTTTGTCAGGTGCTAGGCCTTAAGATTGGATCACCTGATTAGTAGACTAAGTTATGCTTCTGTATTTTAATTACTTAAATGAGTAAAAGTTTTCTATTCAGCTGACCTGACCTTCTAGTTTTAATTGCTAAGTACAACTATAGGAATCAGAGCGTGAAGGATTCCCTTCTTACACTAGTATTAAGCAGGATATATGTTTGAACTTACTTGTTACTTCTTTTATGTGTTTTGAAGGTTATAAATCGCCCTGGAAACTATGTTGAACCAACCATTGTGACTGGCCTTCCTCATAATGCACCTGTTGTTCACACTGAGACATTTGCTCCCATACTGTACGTGCTGAAATTTAAGGTAAAATAACAAAGGGAAATTTAGTCCAGTGTCAGGGATGCTAACAGAAGAGTCAGGAGAAATATTTCAGATATATGTCATGTTCAAGTAATTGTCCCAGCACTTGAAGGCATGGTGATACTTGTTCTGCACTGTAGGATATCTAGCTACATCCACTGTGTAGCTACATTTAAGCATTTTCTGTGATGAGCACTGGGGGTGAGGGTCTGTACAATAATAGATTATTATTGCTCAAAAAGGTCATGTTTTGTGCAGTGGTGGAGGTGTCCTGTTGCTGGCTTGGTACACGTGTGATTGCCAAGTGGCATTCAGTATGTTTGTATTACAGCTGTGGTATGCTGGCTTTTTTCCTCACAGTACTTCTCTATAACTGCTTTGCTTTGCATGGTCATGGTTTTAACCATTTACACATACTCCTTTTAGGAGGAAGAGGAGGTTTTTGCCTGGAATAATGAAGTGAAGCAAGGTCTTTCCAGCAGTATCTTTACCAAGGATTTGGGAAGGATTTTCCGCTGGCTTGGGTATAATTTTAATTATTTTTCTAACTTCCTGAAGCATAAGATCAATCTTTCTTGTCTTTGGTAAACATATGCACAGTGCTAGTTGAGCATTTTTACAGCCTACCTGTTAGGCAAGGGACATTTCCTGGTCCTGAGGAGTAATTGTGTCTTATCTTTGTCTGTAGGCCAAAAGGATCTGACTGTGGCATTGTGAATGTCAACATCCCAACTAGTGGGGCTGAGATTGGAGGTGCTTTTGGTATGTTACCCTTTTTAAATTTATCCTTTAGATGATGTAATCCTCTAGCACCAGGTCTAGAGACTTGGTATTATTCCTCAGGTGTTTTTTTTGTTGTTTTTTTTTAAAGCCGAGGGGATTTTTTTTTCCTAGTGACTCTGCAAGAGAAATTATGTAAAACATTGCAACTGTAAAACTAGTGTGATTTAGGTCTCCTTATTTTTCAAGGTTTTAATCAGTCCATTACTAAATCTGAAGAAATCCATAAAGTTAATCTGGAATTAAACTGCTTTAGCAGAACACAACAATTGACTAGAGGTAGCTGGATTTTGGCTTTTAAAACTATTTGTATTTGTTTTTTTAAATACTCCATATATAATTCCCTGCATCCTGTCAAGGGAATGTAACTCATTCCCTTGAGAATGTTTAGAGATGTGACTGAGTGGAAATCTGTTTAAGACAGTTTTAATTAAGCAGTATTGAGCATTTTTGTTGTGTATGTTTGCATGTGTATATAAATATTACTAATAAAGTATTTTTTTGAGAAAGTCTTTAAATACATTTTGAGCTTTTGTTCTCTTTTTTGTTCATTCTGAAGGAAGTGAGGGGAGGGAAGAAGGAATACTGACCTTACAATTTAAACAGTACAGGAAGCAGCACATTCTTGTACTCTTGTCTCACACTAAAACAGTGTCTTTAAAACAAGGTCCTCGGGTGGCAGCATGATGAGACTTTCAACTCCAGGCAGATGTTTTTTGGATCAAGCATGAGGAGAGAGATAGCTATGTGAGTTGTATGTGATGGTGTTCTGGTAATTATTTCAGATACAGAGCAGGGGCACAGAAATAGTTTTTCCCATGAGTTTTTATAAAATGTCTTATGTCCTGGTGTTAGTCCAGATTCCCATGTTCCAAAAAAAAACTTTAAAAGATTTTATTTATAACCATTTTCCTACAGGTGGTGAAAAGCACACTGGTGGGGGAAGAGAATCTGGAAGTGATTCATGGAAGCTTTATATGAGACGGTCTACTTGGTGAGACAATCTTTTAAGTTTCCAAATAAATGTGAATTACAGATAAACTTGACAGAAGTTCAAAACATGTAAATCCTTGATTACAGAAAGTTATTCTTGCTGAATGTGAGATAAAGATGTATGAATGTAATTGACTTTTCATCATGCATTTACATCTGTGTTCCTAGTAGAAGATGATTTGAAGGGTCTAGAGGTGGACCTTTCTGTACACACTGTTCCTCTAAAGGAAGTCTTAAAGGAATAACTTAAACTCAGCTAAGAATGAAATTACAGAAACTTGTCAGGAAATACTTGAAGGGGCAGCCACAGTGAGAGGGCCACCATTGCCAGTGGTGGGTGATGTAGCTACATGTTGATTATTTCTCTGTAGCCCTACTGACAGGCTGCAGTCGTTGACCATTTCCACCCTCTGCTGGCCTCCCTAGCCTTTACCCGTTCTCACTTTGTTTTCTATCCAGAGGCTTAAGAATTTGAAAAATCCCACCTTGATTTTTCTGTATGAACGTTCTCCTAATAAGAAATTAAATAGGGAATGATACTTTACTTTCCCCTTGATCTGTCAAGGAAGAGAGTATGGGAATATGGCCTCCCACCTACATAGTTACTGTATTGAAAACCAGAGTAAAGTCAGTTACTTAATTCAGATAAGAAAAGTGCTTACAGAAGATATATGACAGAAGCCAGAAGCCTTTTTTGTGAGAAATGTAGTGAATGATCTGTCTTTGTGATCAAGTTTTGTCTCTAAATACTTGTTTCTCTTCCAGTACAATCAACTACAGCAAGGATTTACCTTTGGCTCAAGGAATCAAGTTTCAGTAACAGCCTTATGAACGGCCATGCTATGAACTCTCCTAGCATTTCAGAACCAAGCACTTTTTAAGCCTTGTGGTGAAGAAAATTAGTTACCTACACTTATCTACAGTAAGGATACTAATTCTGTCAAAAAAAATCAGCTACTCTAAAATTGCTTCACTTTCAATGTATGAAATTACTACTTCAGTTTTTTCATGAAAAGTATGTGATCTGTGGGAGAAAGGTGGCTGAAAGTAGCCAGTGTGGATTCAGGTGGCCTGAATAATCTTCTGTTGCCTTATCCCTGTATTTCAACACCCACACTGCCTGTATTTCCTGCCTCCCCACAATTCACTGGTATCTCCAGCTAGTAGGTTAATACTTCAAGCTACATGCTGTGTTTCCTACAGATACCTGGTGCTATGGGAGGTGGGTGGGGGATAGTGGGCAGTACAGGGCTATTTTTCAATGCATAAATAAAAATACATTTTGTGAGAACCTTGGGCTTCTAGGTTGTTTTTTTCTTTGTTGTTTTGGTACAGGGACATTCATCTGGCTGTCCATTTTGAGACACTGAGCTGCTAGCTGAGGGAAGTATCACTGGGCTGAAAGGACCCCTTTAGTTTTCCTGCCTATCTTTCAGAAAGGTGACTTCACTGGTGTACTGGGAGATAAGGAGTGAGAGCAAGGGCTACTGCAGTCTCTTGAAACCTCCAGTTAATGCTGTAAGGAGTCACAGCCAATTCAGGTTTTCACAGCCCTTGTGACCCCCTGCAATGAAGACAGCTGAAGAACTGGAGAGGCAGCCGGGAGGGAATATTTTTCCAGAAGGAATTTGCCAGGCAAGTTGTATGTGTTTCACTGTAGGTGGGGGCTTCTCATGACCACTGAAGACTGCAGCCATCAGCAACTCATTTAGGAGGAGCCTTCCTGAGACTGTAAGATGAGAAAAGGCATGGTGCTGCTAGGCTCATCATAGCCTTCCACAGAGTAACTTCTGAGGTTTTTAGTGCACCATTTTGGGATGAGATTTTTCTTTTCTTCTCACTCTTATGTATTAAATTTCCAAAATCTCTGAACATGGCAGAACTGTTTGTTTTGGGCTCAGATTTTAGAAGTATGATGCAGTATTTACTTTGACAGATCTTAAAATAGCGATGTTCAGCCAAATTGTGCTAAAGGCCTAACATGCCACAATGCTAACTGGTTTTCTTTCATCTTAATATCTCGTTTTAAAATACATATAATGTTTCGAATTTTGCATCTGTATTACGGAAAGCGTTTTCACTTTCTACAACCAGTAGGCAGCCAAAGTTTTTTCCTCCTGAGTCTCTTCAAACCAGGTAAACTCACTTCTGTAGGACTTTGGGCTTGCCAATTTAACTGGAAAACAGATTTGATAAAAGAATGCTGTATATTTGCACACAGAAAAAACTGAAATCCCCTAAACATACAGGTAAGTCGTTAGCAGATGGAGGACAAAGAAACAATCAAATTTCCAAGTTAAATTATTCTGAAAATAGAACAATTTATTAGAAACAGTATTTGTCAACACTGTTCTGTGGCACTCAATGTCACTATGAAACTGTGAACAATAAAAACTTAAGTTAAAGAACTTATCCTTCCCCTGTTTGCTGCTTATTAGTAGTTTTTACATCGTCTCATTATGTCACACCTCTTTTTCTAAAAATAAAGGCCTTTTTACTCTTTGGATAAAATAGTTTTACAACTCTACTGGTTAATATGCAGGAATAAGTTGACTATGCTTTCTGGATTTAAGTATTTGAACTCCAGCCATAGAAAGGAAGAAAAATGGGATGGTCAGCCTGACGTTTGAGTGGGCTTCAAATAATTATCTCAAAATTAATATGAATGGAAAACATGTAGGAATGTTATAAAGAGGGTGACTTAGCAAGCATACGGAACTGTTTTTTAAATATTTACTTGGCATTTTTATGTATAACAATCTCTTCAACACAAACCTTTGAGCAGTCATGCAGAGGACTGCTTAAAATACTTGTGTAACTGCCGCTGTGTATTATGATTAAGTGCATTAGATCCACTTTATATAGTCAATAACATGCTCTCTGTTAGTAGATTATGGATTCATCCTGACTTTTGCCAAGTATAGGAATTTGTATTCAAAAAATGGTGTTATCTGCATTGTCATGGGGCTGCTAGTATGGTATTACAGCAAGTAATTTTAATGCTTCATCTGCTTCCCAGACAGTTTTGAATTCCTTAGATGATTTTTGCAACTTGCTTCTTTCCACCCTTCTATTTATTTAGTTACCTAACGTTGAAGCATCCTACCTGACCTGACTAGCTGAATGACTTCCAATGAGGTGGGCTCTGGGTAGAATGTCTCTTAAGACCGCTGCAGGTTGTAATAGGTTCTGGCAAGGACTTACATGCCTGTAAGCAGTTATGCTTATGATCAAAGTATTAAACTAAGGAGGTTTAAAGGTACTGTAAGCACCCTGTTTTTCTATTTCTGTTTTAATTTGGAAGTCCACTTGAGAGTTTGTAAGCTGCATTAGCTGTCATTGGATTGTCTCACTCAAAGGAAAGCGATTTGAGGATTCGTAAAATGGGTCATGGGGCTACTGGCACATGCAATGTAGTGGAATTTGCAGTTTTAATACAAACTCTATCAGCAGCTTCCATTGTTGCATAAACTTAATTACCACTGAGTGTGTAACATCAGTGAATAACAAGTGTTAAATGACACATGATCAATAATTCATTTGTTAGCACAGTATTACTTACTGTGAAATGACCTTGATGGGAACTGTCTTGCAATTAACTTCTCCATGCCATATTTTTTTAACTGAAGAAAAATGCAATTGTTTTTTTTAATGAACAGTGAAAAATCAAACCTGCAGGCTGTGAGTTGCAGGCTGCTACTCCTCCATTTTACTGTCATGGTTTCTAACAGCAGAGCTGGCATAGGACCTATTTTCAGGAACCAGGAATGCTGCTTGCCGGTAGTAGATCTCAACATGAGGTTTTTGCAAATAGCTGCCTTGCAGTGCTGAACTTAAAACCACTGAGGAATTACTCACTGTTAGCTTCCTTTTGAGTACTGTTAGTACTCAAGAGACCAACCTATTAATAGCATATTGTGTTGTTTCTTTGTGGTATTTCCATTATTCGGTTATATGTGCTGTTTCTGGATGGGTTAAAAACCCCAAGGCTGTCAGAACTCCAGCTGCCTGTGTTTCTGTATGAGATACTATGCATATAGTTGCTGCATTCGAGACTCATTAGTCTGTACTAATCCATCCAAGTCTGCATTAATCTCATCAGGAACTATATATATGTTTATGATTAGCTGATTCACTGGAAGGCTGTGCAGCTATTCAGCAAGATTTGGACAGATTGGACAGCTCGGTAAACAGGAACCTAATGAGGTTCCTCAAGAGCAAATGCTGAGCCCTGCACCTGGGAAGGCTAGGAGGTGATCTAGAGAGCAGCTCCATGGAGAAGGACCTCGGAGCCCTGGTAGACAACAAGTTACCCATGGGGCAACAATGTGCCCTTGTGGCCAAGAAGGCCAATGGTATCTTGGGGTGCATTAAGAGTAGTGTGTCCAGCAGACTGAGGGAGGTCCTCCTCCCCCTCTACTCAGCCCTGATAAGACCTCACTTGGAGTGTTGTGTCCGGTTCTGGGCCCCCCAGTTCAAGAGGGATGGGAACCTACTTGAGAGAGTTCAACAGAGGCTACAAGGATGATTAAGGGACTGGAACATCTGCCTTACGAGGAGAGGCTGAGAGACCTGGGGCTTTTCAGTCTAGAAAGGAGAAGACTGATGGGGATCTAATGAATGTCTATACATACATGAGGGCTGGGTGTCAAGAAGGCGGGGACAAGCTCTTTTAATTTGTGCCCTGCGATAGAACGAGGGGCAAAAGATTCAAACTCAAGCATTGGAAGTTCCACCTCGACGTGAGGAAGAACTTCTTTAATGTGAGAGTTACAGAGCAGTGCAACAGGCTCCTCAGAGGGGTTGTGGAGTCTCCTTCTCTGGAGACTTTCGAAACCTGTCTAGTTGCCTTTCTGAGTGATCTGCCCTAGTTTTTGGCCATGCTCTGGCAGGGGGGGTTGAACTCTGTGATCTTTGGAGGTCCCTTCCAACCCCTAATATTCTGTGATTCTGTGATAAAAGAAGTAAAGTGTAAATGACAGAAGAACTCTTTGCTGTGTTGGTGCTGCACCAATGTGGAAGAGGACAAAATATTTTAAGGCTTATATGTGGGTAAAATGTCTTAATCACATAGAATTAAATTATTGAGTAAGAAAAATGGCTTGACAAGTCCTTACAAAATCATAGAATTGTTTGAGTTGGAAGGGACCTTAAAGTTAATCCAGGCTCCAACCCCAATTCCGTGGGCAGAGACATCTCCCACTAGCCCAGGCTGCTCAAAGCCCCATCAAACCTGGTCTTTTTAAATGCCTGATGTTCAGCATTATGAAATTTCTGTTCCTTGATCAGCAAAACACACTGTCATTGGATACATGCTTCGTGTTTGAAAAGTAATGAATCAGGTGTGTTCAGGTGTGTGCAAACTTGAGCCGTCACTTCAGGGCTTTTTGCAGTGCAAAGCGCCACGTCCACCCTTGAGTTCTGAGCAAGATTGCTTGTGGATACCTGGTACGAAGGCACATGCATGTTCAGAGTCTGTTCTGTTGAGTGTCCCTCCCGGTGTCGCTGTTGGTCAGGCTACCGCCCGCCGAAGGGCGGCACAGCAGCCAGCCCGCCTGTGCCGGGCAGCCCCTCGCTGCCCAGACCTGTGAAACGCATGCCTCTTTTTCCGAGTGTCTTTTGTGTTTCAGAGCGTCTGGGAACACTGCTTCTGAGCTGGTAAAGGCACTGCAAGCGCCTCGGTTGATTAGTGCAATTGTTATAGAAAACATTAACTCCAAAAGCCAAAGGAGAACAACAACGGTGTTTCATGCGGCCACTCCAGGGAAGAGCAACCTGTTTGATGCTAACTTACCTGGTACATTACTGTTGTCCAGCTTTACAGCCCAGTTTTTCTGCAACCTGGTTTCAAGGGAGAGTTAAAGGGAGCAAACAGTGCAAGCTAGATCTCTGAACTTCAGAGGAAGGCACATCCTTTCATTGCTTTACAGTCTGGAATGTGGGAACTTAGTGGCAATTGTGTTTCACATTTCCCTGGAGCTATCCCTACAGGTGTCCCACGGACATGTACTTAGATGTGGTAGTGAAGTTGCTTAGCA